CCGGGGCCCGCTTGAACACGGGAGCACCGGCCAAGCCCGCCCCGGCCAAGCCCGCCCCGGCCCGCCCACATCCACTCGGACGGCGTCCTGCGGCGCACAGCGAAGCTCGGCTCGAGGGCAGCCGAGCCGCCGCAGTGAGGGTCGACACCGTTCTGCTCCGTCCGACGCCGTCCTGCTCTATCCGACAGTTTCTGAATCCGTCGGAGTCCGTCCGACACTGTCCGACTCCGACCGACTCTGCCCTTGGGGCCGCGGGCTCCTGCTGGCTGCCACCATCACGCTGATGTAAGGTGGACTTCGATGTGATCCGCGGCCCCCGCTCCTCCAGAAAGCAATCAAACATGAAATAAACAACACGACGACCCAAAATAACTGCACTCTGGTGACGTCGTGTTCACCACTGCTTCTCTATTTCTAGTTATCCTACCTCCACGCCACCCCCTACGCTTTAGCAGCAGACGCTGTTTCAGCCCGTTCTACATCATCCCTTCCCGATAGCCAGGGAGCGAATAACACCAAATTTTATGCCACCAATCTCTATCCGGAAGTGGTTTAGTTAAACTTGTATTAAACTCAACGTCAGAAGAGCATCGATTACGGGGCACACTTCTTCACAGTCAAAACTGTTGCATTTGCCCGAGAGGGCAACAACATCATGAACTAAGCGGGAGTCTAGCGCAACTCGTACAAATTAGTCGAAATAAGCGTTTTGTACCACTAGAAAACAAGGAACGAATATACACAGACGGGAATCAGTGAGAGTAAAGTATTTTGGGAATCATGTGTACACATCAAAAGGGAGTTATTGCCCCCTCGATTTTGCTAGAACTTTCTTTGAAATAGACGCAGACCACCAGTCATAATAGTTCTGAAGTTAAACCTTATTTTCGACACGTTGGAATAAAAGGCACAAAGTTCAGAAGCTGGAGCCGAGTTCCACGCAGTTTAGCTGCTAAATCCGAGATCCACGCAGTTCAGCTGCTCTATCCGAGATCCAAGCAGTTCTTCGCTACAGGGATAGGAACTGCGTGAATTAGGTGGATCTCGGAACGACCGGTTGAACTGCGTGGATCACGGATATAGCAGCCGGGCCGAGCTGCGTGCCTTTTATCCTAAGGGGTCGATTTGGTAACAGATAGTTTTGATTCACGTACAATTTTGGCTCCTTATGATATGGGACAATCCAGAAAGTACGTCCGTCATTCGCCGTTTCGAACCTATTAAGTTCAAGGCTTCGCAAGCTCTCATAGCGCCTGATAGTAGGCAACATCTCGCCAGCAGTGCATGCGTGTAGTGCGGGGTGGCCTACCCTGCGGTTCGCAGGCGCCTAGCTTCCGCAATTCAAATGAATCACAGGAAAAAAAGGACGTACTTTCTGGACGAGCCCTATTGCATCCGCAAGTACATGTCAATGCGGACTTGATGCCTGTCAAGACCGTAATCTGTAATGGAAGCCTGCAGTTTCTGCTTTTCGCAGAGTATGGATTCCAATTCCAATAGATATAT